GTATACTTAAGCAAAACAAATAATAAATTTATTACTTTTCAATAATTTCTATCCAGTGATATCGTATGATGTCGACGAGTTGAAAAAGATAGCGACGAATTATTTTATACGGTTCGGTCACTCGTTATGGTTCGCAATCAATTGCCAGCGCAAGTGGTTGAAGAGAGCAAAAAAAAAAGAAACAACGGAACGAAAGGTAGAAGGTGAATCGCGCGATAGAGAGAAAACGAATCTCGAAACTGTTACGCACACGCTGGGCGATTTTCTACAAAATGGAACGTACTTGCGATCAAACGTGCAACGGGTTGGAACTATAACGCAACGACGCATCGCGTAATTACGAGTCAGCGTGGAATGCATGCGAGGAATATGAAAATTTCTCCTTGTATAATTTCTCGTACGTTGCATATACGTATATTATCGTTCAAAAGTATCCGGACGTTTGATTATTTTTAACAACTTGTAATTTTCATTCCGAGATCTCTCTCTCTCTCTCTCTCTCTTTCTTTGGCGAGTAAAAATTACGTGTTGATGAATGATGATTAACTGGCTTCGAATACTTTTCATCGCGTAAATTCTATGTAAAAACGTAAAAACACACAGAATACATGTAATATGCAACTTGTTAGCATTCGTTATAACATGTGATATGGAAATGAATTTTCTGCCTATAGCTCTGTTGTCTAACACTTACTTTCGTAAAAGTAATTACCTGCGGTCTAACGATTAAATTTCACGTTATTATTTCGTTGCTACGACTGTTCCGATATTTATTGTTAGAAGATATTTCAATAATCCTCGAGCGAAGGAACAGACAACCTATTTAATCATTCGTTTGACGATTCCAATCGGACAAATGAATAAAATTTTCCCCTCTCTCAGTTACGATCGGTATGAACGTCACGATATATGATATATATTGAAAAATCGAATAATTGCCATCACTAATTAGATACCTCTCTGCGAATGGCTCACCTGGTAATGCCTACACGATTTGAGCTACTTTTCTTTATACACGGTGGCTCGAAGGAAAAAGTCAGTCTACAATCTGCATCTGTATTTGTACAATTGAAAAAAATTCTCCTCTGCAATTTAAATTTAGTTAACATCGAGATTGTGTTTTAAAAAAAAGGATACCTTAAGGTTTATTAGAAGTTAAATTAATGTATTCGCGACATCTCCGGTCATTTTCATCCCAAATATATTACGAAACGCAGTTAAATCGCTGAAATCTAAATAATTAAGACAGTATGAGAAATATTTTACTCCTGTCTTTTATAAATTCGAGAAACATTAATTTATATTGACTTATAACTAGATTGCGGATTTTTAGAAAATTTAGATGTGCGCATAATGCACGAAAATATAATTATATAAAACACATGATATCCAACAAAATATTAATTTAATGTATAAAACAAATCTCTTTCTAGATTCTATTTTTCAAACAATTTTCACAAAAATGCGAGATCTGCATAAAAATCAGTCTATTTACAAACTGCTAACTACTGTATTATAACATACTGTATAATAATCTACTTATATGGGCAAAACAAATCAAAAGCAGAGAAAAGTCCTCCTAGTCTTTCATTCGAGCACACCTTGTACGTTAAAACTCATTAAATATAAAAGATCGCCATCAAGGATAACTTCTTCGGTCACCGGTTCGTCGTCCTCGGTGAACACCTCGCTTCAACATCGCACGATGTTTTCACTTTCGTTGAAACAAAACGGTTCTTCATTTTTCTTTTTCTTTTTTCTTTTTTTTTTTTTTTTTATTAATGACACGGTGGCCGATCTGTGTTGACGAAATGCGACGATCATGTCATTTTCTCACGAGACCGCAAACTAAAATCCCAAGGCATGCTTTCATTCGTTTACGGGAAGATTCTCACGTTTCGCAACCCGGGACGTACCTGCTCCCATTTCCTGTCTTATCGGTCGTCAGACAATAGGAGCTCTCTGGAATCGGGGAATCCCTCGTCCTCCTCCGGGGAAAACGAGACGGTTTCCTCTCTTTGATTCGACTCTCAGATAAATTAGACTCCTGGAGCACGGAACTTAACAATGGGAACTGAATAAATACGAAACTCGTGTAGAGGATGGTTTGTTTGATGGAGATTGCTCGAGAGGAGCAATCTTATACATATTTATCATTGCGTGATGGAATTTAATTTTTGCACTCGTCAATGAAAAGAATGATTATTCTAGTGTTGTGTCTGATCCTTGATTGCTCAATTGCCAAATTTCGTAGTTTTCTTATATAATTAACAAATTGTTTCATTTTTAATTGTTTTAGTCGACGAGATGGCATGAGAATCAAAAAATCAACGAAAATAGACTCGCCGTATTTTTTTTTTTAAATACTTCTCACATTTTATATTTGATTACTAGTTTTTTATTACATTGCTCTCTCGATGCCGGATAATCCATTTATCTAATTTCCATCCGTTTATTGAACTGAAAAATCACGTGCAATCAACTGTACCATTTATTCTGTTTTCAACTATATTTACCAGCGAGAAATATAAAAATTGAAAAATCAACGCAGACTCGTATTTTTTTTTTTTTTTTTTTTCAATTTTT